GCAACCCTCGGTGTTGCGCCCGCACCTCGCTCAGCCAGTGAGCGGGAACCGGTCTGTATGTGGGATCCGAACCCTCGGCGGGAGCGCCGCCGCGCTTCCCAAGCGGCGCACTTATCCAGTGCGCCACCGGGTCAGCCCCCAGCACTTTTTTTTTTTGATAACAGCCATCCTAATGGTTGTGAAGAGGTATTATTATGGTTTTGATTTACATTTTCCTAATGATTTATGTTGTTGAGCATCTTTTCATGTACTTGTTGGCCATTTGTATATCTTCCTTGGAAAAGTTTCTGTTCAAGTCCTTTGCGCATTTTTTAATTGGTTTTTTTGTTGTTGTTGAGTTGTAGGAGTTCTTTATATATTCTGGATATCAATCCCTTATCAGCTATATGATTTGCCTATATTTTCTCCATTCTGAGTTGCCATTTCACTGTTGATTGTGTCCTTTGATGCACAAAAGTTTCTAATTTTGATGAAGTCCAACTTACCTATTTTTTCTTTTGTTGCCTGTGCTTTTGGTGTCATATCTAAGAAATTATTGCCAAATTTATGTCATGAAGCTTTTCCCTTAGATCAGTTATTTGTTCTATTGTGAGGTTCTAACTTACTCTTTTTTTACATGTGGATATCCAGCTTTTCCAGCACCATTTGTTGAAAAGACTGTCCTTTCCCCATTGCAATGTCTTGGTGCTCTTTTCAAAAATCATTTCAAGTGAGGGTTTATTTTCTGGGCTCTGTATTTTATCCCATTGATCTATGTGTCTGTTTTTATGCCAGTACTTATTTTCAGAATGTGATGTAATATTTTCAAAATAATATTGTGCCAGGTAGAAGTGATAGTTTTTTTCTTTTATAATAAAGTAAAACTTCAGTAGATTATAAACTCCAGTGCCAGTGCCAAGCTTAAGACTTAGCAGACTTGGCATATAATATGTGTTTGATTTAAGAATCATAAATTTGAAGCCACAGGGAGTTTGCCAGGAGAACAGAAGGTCATGGATTGACCCTTGGGGAATATTAATAGCTGAGAGAGAACGGGGGGAAACAGAAAAGGTATGATTGAATTGTGAAAACTAGAACTATGTATTTTATTTTATTTTTTTTTCCTTTTTTGTCTTTTCTACTGACCGGTAACGGGATCGCAACCCTCGGTGTCACGCCCGTACCAGGGACCGGCAACGGGATCGCAGCCCTCGGTGTTGTGCCCGCACCACGCTCAGCCAGTGAGCGGGAACCGGTCTCCACATGGGATCCGAACCCTTGGCGGGAGCGCCACCGCGCTCCCAAGCGGCGCACTCTCCAGTGCGCCACCAGGCCGGCCCTGTATTTTTGTTTTGTTTTTGTGCCCTCCCCTCAAAGGAATAGATACAGTTTCTGGTATAATGGCAGGATTATTAAAAAATGGAAGCATTGGTGATACTAAGGATGATGTGGTAATAAATAACCAGTTTGAGGAGAGAATTAAATGATAATATCAATAGCATGAAATGCAAGGAGGGTTTTTAAAAAGACATAAATGTGGGCAGAAGGAGGCAGGAGGGTGAAGATGCTAGAGAGATGGCGTACACGTGAATGCAAGATCCTATGGATGTCAAGAATGAGTGGGATCATTCTCTCGCAAGCAGACTCAGAGAAAGAGAAGAAAAGAAAGAATGAATGGGATCAAAAGCAAGAGCTAAAGGGTTTAATTTTTTCTTTTTGGTGGCTGGTGGTAAGGGGATCTGAACCCATGACGTTGGTGTTACTACACTGCTCTCTAACCAACTGAGGTAACTGGCTGGATTTAGCTTTTTAGAGGGAGTTATTTCTTTTCTGTGATGGAAGAAAGAGGAGTGTGGACAGGGGAAGATATATTCAGGTACTGGGATGCAAATAAACCTGGAAGGATGGCCACTATCCATCCAATCCTCTATCCAGATGAGGATGAAAGGTAAGACAGGAACTTTAAAAATAAGGTCTATACGAATAGTTGTTAACCTTTAGTAGAGAATGGAAGGGTGTATGGAAGAGGGGCTAGTATAGTTTGATAATGCTCCCCAAATCATTCTGGATTCTGATAATACCCTCCCTGCTCTCTTTGAGAACCGCTTATTTATGTCAGTTCTAGAAATTCATTATTGAAGAACTAGCAGACATAGAATACTTTTTAACAGTTTCTTTAAACTTCATCTAGAATTTGTCATGCTTCAGTCTGCTAGTAACAGTTAAATGCAGGTGCTAAATTTTTTCCTGTAATTTTCAAGGTGATTGTTTAATAATAGATGTTACCTCAGTGATTTGTTTGCTATATGTATGTGTGTTTCCTCTACCCAGTGGAAATTTAAAACTAAAACTGTCAGCAGTAAAAACATCTTTAGTGATGTGACAGTGACAATACAGTTCTTCCCAGTTTAAAATGTAATTAGTCAGATACATAAAATAATTAAGTGGTAATGTCATTTAATGTCAAAATTCTGTATAAACTTGATTATAGACATTATACTAGGAGAGCAATATTTTTCAAACTATGGGCCTGTGGTCCATTCATGACTTATTCAGTGGTTCACAACCAGTGGGGTTTTTTCCTTTTTAAAATGGACTAGAATAGACTAGAAAATAGACATTGTGTGGGACTCATTGCAGTGCAGTAAGGTTAAGTATTTTGTGACACTTTTTAATATATGTATGTATGTATGTGTCTGTGTACTGAATTTAATGGAAAATATATTTCTTTTTTTTCCTTTTTGTCTTTTTTACTGACCGGTAACGGGATCGCAACCCTCGGTGTCGCGCCTGCACCGGGGACCGGCAATGGGATCGCAACCCTCGGTGTTGAGCCCGCACCGCGCTCAACCAGTGAGCGGGAACCGGTCTCCACATGGGATCTGAACCCTTGGCGGGAGCGCCGCTACGCTCCCAGGCGGCGCACTCTCCAGTGCGCCACCGGGCCAGCCCTGGAAAATATATTTCTGACTGAGGGTTGCAGTCAAAAGAATTGGAAACCCATCATAGGATGTTTTGATAAATGGGTGTGGACATAATAAAAATAAAGTCTCTTAATTTCATGTTTGTAGCATTCATTCATAAATTTTTATTGACATCTCAACTAACCATATACATATATAATACATGTATATATTTTTTTCCTTAACAGGTGCAATGGATGAGCTTCATAGTCTGGATCCAAGAAGGCAAGAGTTATTGGAAGCTAGATTTACTGGAGTTGCAAGTGGAAGCACTGGGAGCACTGGCAGTTGCAGTGTTGGTGCTAAAGTGAGTAAAATTTTAATTTTTGGCAGTCTTGTATAAAATGGTCTAAAATATATTTCATAAAGGATCTCTTTGTATGTGCTTAGAAAATTATTACTTATAACTTTTATAATATGTAGAAAAAAATCAGTGGTTTCTAATGGCGTAATGTATTTCAAGGGCATTATGTTATACTATGTTTCACGGGAAAAGGAGTTTGGATTGTACTGCCTTTCTCTCGTTACATAATTTTTTATCCTTCTGGTTCTTATCACCCATGTTCCTGTCTGTACATCTAATCCATTACTTCTAACTACAGCATAAAACTTAATAGTGAATCTTTTAGGTCTTCCAGCAATAGAAAAAGGTTGTCTTCAACTCCCCAGTACCTCAAACTGCAACGAGCATTCTTGTACTTGTTCTCTTGTAGACCTTTGTGAGCACTTATTTAGGATATATTCCCAAGAACAGAATTGTTAGGTCCATAGGATATGTATAGACTTAAATTGAATAAATAGTGCAAGAGTGCTTTTCGGAATGATTGTACTAATCTGTACTTTCAGTAGAGTGCACAAGTGTTTCTGTATCTCCACGTCCCAGAAGCACTTGGCATCTTCCACATTTTTCATTTTCAACAGTCTAATAAGTATACAATGATATCTCACTGTTTTGCTTGTACCATCAATTATTTTGAGCATTTCTTCACATGCTTGTTAGCTTTTTGGAAGTCTCTTATAAATTATTCTAATTCTTTGTTTTTCTATTAGGATTACCTTCTTTTTTGAATGATTTCCCCATGTTTCTTGTATATTCTACATATTAATTCCTTGTTGATTTTATACATTACAAGTAACTTCTCCCATTTTGTCATATGTATATTAACTTTGCTTAGTATCCATCATTGTATAGAAGTTGTATGAGTCTACTGTACTTTGGATTCTAAGTTTGTCATCAAACTTACCAACTTTTTGCCTTATGGTCTGTGTTTCTGAAGTTTTGACTACCTCTTGGTTTACTAAGGAAAATAGTCATCACTGGGTCAAATAGATGCTGTATATTTATAAGTTATTTTACTAATAATTTATAGAAATAGGAATAAAAGTTATGAAAAACAACTTTATTAGAAATTTTGATTAGAATTACATAGTGCACCTTTTTGTATCAAGTAAATTTTGGTACACAAACATCATAAAAGATGAAAGAATACTTTGATATGTCCTTGGAGCATAATGAGATGGTCCAGGTTCAGTTCTTGTTGCAGAATATTATATGATCAAGTTCTTCAGTTGAATGACTAACTGAGAATACCATGTTTCCTTTTTTCCTTAGAAATACATTTTTAATTCATTGATTTTTGAATTTGAGAAAATTCATCCAGGATAATGTCATCTAATGACTCTTAAGATTTCACTTATGCAGTCAATGTCACTATCTTCAGTTTTTGTTTTTGTTTTTTAAATGTTAGTTGCTGTCACTGCCTTTATTCATTTAAATTTTTTATTGAAACTTTGCTTGTACATATTTATGGGGTTCAGAGTTATATTTCAACACATGTATACAGTGTGTGTTGATCTATTCAGGGTAATTAGCCTACTTATCATTGCAAAACTTAATCGTTTCTTTGTGATATCAATGTAAGAGTCTAAACATGCTGCTGTGTATCTCTCTCTTTTCTGATTTGTCTGATAATTGTAAGGTGTCTTCCTCTCATTTTCTTGGCCGTTGTGGGCAGAAAATGAAAATTTCTGAATTCTCAGGTGGAGTTAGTAAAAGCTAAAATCAGACTACAAAGATGGTATCTCTAGTCTTCTATACAGTCTTGAAAGACAATGCAAGGTGAAAGATGATGTAAGGCAAGAAGAAAACTGAAAGGTGATGATTTATTTCACTGTTGCATCATCCTTTTAGTTCATTAAATCCTTATTGTTTTTCTATTGCTACCATAACAAATTACTGCAAACTTAGATGTTTTAAAAAAGCATAAATTTATTATCTTGTAGTTCTGTAGATCAGAAGTCTGACCCTGTCTTATTGGGCTAAAACCAAGGCGTCTGCAAGGCTGCGTTCCTTTTTGGAGGCTGTTGGGGAGAATCTATTTCCTTGCCTTTTCTAGCTTCTAGAAGCTGCTACATTCTTCGGCTGGTGTCCATACTCCTCCATTTTCAGAGATAGCAACTTCACATCTTCCTGGCATTCTTCTAAAGTCATATCTGTCTTTGGCAACAGTCTAGAAAGGTTGGTTCTCTACTTTTTAATACTCATGTGATTAAATTAGGCTCACCTGGATAACCTGGGATACTCTCCCCATCTCAAAGTCCTTGCTCTTACTCACTTCTACAAAGTCCCTTTTGCCATGTCAGGCAACATATTCACAGGTTCTGGGGATTAGGGTGTGGATATCATTGGGGGACCATTATTCTGCCTATCACATACCATCATTCCTCCGTTTTCTTCTTAATTTAGGCTTTTTTCCTTTTATTTTTTATCATAGTTATGAATAATTGATGAACAGTGATGAATAATGATGAAGTAAAACCTAATATGATGTAATAACAGAATATTTCAAAATACAGGAAAAAGAGTATGAGTAAGATCCCATAGTGTGTTTTAGATTTATGAAAGGGTCCAGTTGACATTTGGTAATTGTGAGACAGAATAAGTCTTACTCTATTAAAAAATAAATTTTATTTTTGTTCTTTGGATGATCGCTAAGAAAGAAGTCCTGAAATATTAATCTTTACAAATAGAACAGCCTCAAAAAAGAAGCTCAAAAACTAAAATTGGGTCCTGTGAACCTTGATAGTATCCTACGAGTTAAATACTTCTTCTACACACTCGGGCCACAAAAATATTGTTTCTTTTATTAATTTTATAGTTTTACTGTCATATTTGCTCTTTAATCTATCTTAGGTCCCTCTTTATGTAGTATTGGTAGAGATCCAGTTTTCTTTTTCTCCTCTAGTGAACCAGTGTTCTCCACAGTGCTTCTTAAATCATTCATGTTTTTTCACTGATTTGTGATGCCACCTTTATCTATATATGATTTATATATGATAAATATACAAGGAGTCTTCAGAAAGCTCATGGAAAGATTTGTATTTTAATTCTATTTTTTCACAATCCTTTTTGAAGTACCCATGTATATGATTGCCATTATATATATGGGTCTGTCTCTGAAATTTATCTTATGTTCCAGTGGGCTTTGTTCTTGTATCAGTATCACATTAAAAAAAAAAAAAAAAAAAAAAACTCTTGTGTTTTGATATGTCTTTTTATATGGTAGGACAAATCCCTTCTTTATTCTTCTTTTTTAAGGTCAACTTAGTTATTTATGGATTATTCCCTCATATAAAATTTGAACATCTCTTCATAAGCTTGTTAGCATTGGGGAATTCTTCTTTTATAATAGCTTATTTGTATCTTTTCCCTTAAAAGATTCAAATGTAGTTTTTATTCTGAAAGCATTGCATTTATAGATTAATTTGGGGAATAGTGGCATCTTTATAAGATTAGATTGCCCCATTTAAGTACCAGAAATGTCTCATGTATTCAGTTCTCTCTCTGAAGAGTTCTTTTGAATTTTTGGTTTGTTCTTACATACTTCAAAGTTTTTGTGATTAATACTTTTTTTATTATGTTTCCTATATTGCTGGCCTAGGATGTTTCTGGTTTTTATAGTTTGGCTTGTATTTTAGCAGTCTTGCTGATGATCTTTTTTATTTGTTGTAATAGTTTGTTGATTCTGTACATTTCTCTAAGGGAAATAATTCTCTTCCAAAAATGACTATTTTCTTATAACTCATATGTTTATATTATTTTCCTTATGTTAGTTTTAACCTTCAGTACTATGTCTTGTTCTTGTCCTGTAAGTTTCTCTGTTAAGTGTTATGATTACTGTAGGTTTTGGGTATAGAACTATGGCCTAGTCAAAGAAGAGCCTTTCTATTTTTGGTTATTTAAGAAGGGTTTTTTTTGTTTTTTGGTTTTTTTGGCTGCTGGCCAGTACAGAGCCTTAACCCTGGACCTTGGTGTTATCAGCTGCACTTTTGTTTGTTTTAAAAATCATAAATGGTTTTTAATTTTTGAAAGTCTTTTTGTTGGTGGTTAAAAGAAGATTTTTCTCCTCTGAATTATTAATGTGGTAATTAAACAGATTTTTTAAAGAAAATGTTAAACCTTGTTTGCATTTCTCTGATAAACTATTTGATTATGATGTACTACTTTTAAAAATATATTTATGGGTTTAATACATGATTATTTTATTTAGGATTTTTACATATATTTTTTAAGAGAAATAGATGTACAGACTAGGAGAGGGGTAGTTTAGTGAGTTTTGACAAATATATACACTCATGAAATCTAAATCCTTCTCAATATACAGAACATTTTCATTACCCTACCTTATCTGTTTTATAAATCACTATCACATTAGTCCCATAAAATGAACTAGGCCCCTTTTACTATTTTCAGTTTTTTTAGACATCCTATATATGACAGGAAATTTTCGTGGAAATATAAGTAGACTCACTATCTCAGCCTGGGGTTTGTTGAGAGTGGAGGTCTTTTACTACTATTTAAATTTCTTTAATATTTATTTAGTTTACTAGTCTATTTCATTACAGCTTTTCAAATTTGTTAGTACATAGTTATAATACCTTTTGAAACCTCCCTTGTTATTTCTTTCTTCATATTTACCTTTTCTGTTCATTCTAGCTAGAGCTCTGTTTGAGCTAATGAATATTTCAAAGAAACAGTTTTTGTTTTAATCTATTTCACTGTTTTTTATCCCCTCTCTTTTTCCCATTGGTTTCTGTGTTTGTAATTTACTTTTTATTTTGGATTTGTTTCTGTGGCTCTTCTTCCAGCTATTGAGTTGAATTCTAGTTATTTTATTTATATAGATGCATGATTAACATACAATAAAATGTTTAGCTCTTATGTGTTCAGTTACAGGATATTTTTCCTTCGTAATTTTTTTTTTTTTTCTTTTTGTCTTTTTTTCGTGTCCGGCAATGGATCGCAAC